CTCTTATCCAGGCTCCCACCAGTCACACAAAGAACAAAGACAAGTCGGGGTAAAGGGTAGGACTAGAGTCTTAGAGGTCAGAAGAATCAGGATGGGGAGAGATCAGCTGGCTTCTCACAGAACTGGGGAAGTTGAAGGATGGAGTAGAGAGGATCTAATTTCTTGCTACATGTGGGGAAGTGTGAGAATGTGGTGAGAACAGGGAGTCAAAGGGGACAGTTTCAGGACCCCAATACATAGCGATGGAACTAAAGGAAGTTCTCACTGGTATTTATACAGGTCCTCTGATGACAGATCAGGTTCCTGAGGTCTGGAAAGTGTTATGTGACATTATTCTAACCAGGGCTATGAGACAAAGGGAGCAACTATGGGCCAGTGAACTTAACATCATTTACAGAAAAATATTAGGAAAAGTATGCAGAGGGGACAAATGGACAAGCATATGGTAATTTGATTAGAAACAGGACACAAGTTTTTACTGAAGGAAGGTGCTACTCTAACTAGCTTGTTAAACTCCCTGAAAGTTATTGTTTTCTCAAGTCTAGATTTGAATTTATGATTTTTTCCTAATATTTATAAAGGGAATAAACAGGAAGCATCTAAGTAAATAAAATAAAACCAATCACAATTGAGGACATTAGAAATACAACAGCAAGAAAAATGAATGTGGAAGGCAAACAATATAGCAAGAAGAAATGTAGTTCGCATCATCTATTAGAATTTCAGTTAAGATACTTTTAATGAAAAAATACACAATTTTTTAAGTTTGTAACTGTGTCCCCCATGCCATTTCCTAAAATGTTCTGTAGGAAAAAAGAGATTTAAAAAAGGAAAAAGAAAAATGGATTGAGCATTTGATGTGGTTACAAATTTGGCAAATTAGGCTGAATACTTCACTAACTCAACCAAGTTAAACATTTTCAAATAAAAGGAAGATATCCTTTTGATTAAAGTAAGTAATAGGGGAATTTTAAAAAAAATATATTTTATTGATTTTTTACAGAGGAAGAGAGAGAGATAGAGAGCTAGAAATGTCGATGAGAGAGAAACATCGACCAGCTGCCTCCCGCACACCCCCCACTGGGCATGTGCCCGCAACCAATGCACATGCCCTTGACCGGAATCGAACCTGGGACCCCTCAGTCCACAGACCGATGCTCTACCGCTGAGCCAAACCGGTTTCGGCAGGGGCGGGGAGATTTTTTTTTTTTTTTAATGTTTTTATAAAACAAGAATAAAAAAAATCAAAGTATCTATTAACATTTTCTAGTAGCTTTGATAGTACCTTTTATTGGTTAATCTATATAATTCACCAATGATGCAATTGTATTTTTCAAAAGATACTAGTTTTAACTAACTGATAGAGACCTCTATATCTACAGTCTCCACAAGAGCAGGGGATGTGTCTATCTTATTCATACTGTATTCCCAGGGTCTAACACAGTGTTTGGTAAATAATGAATGAATGAATGAATGAATGAATGACAATAACAGCATGGGCCCTGGCTGGGTTGCTCAGGTGGTTAGAGCATCATCCCAATACCCAAAGGTTACAGGTTCAATCACAGGTCAGGGCACATATAAGAATCAACCAATAAATATATAGATGGGTGCAACAACAAGTCAACATTCTCTCTCTCCCTCTCTCTCTCAAATCAATAAAGTAAAAAAAAATACATCAATGTTGGGTATTTTACTATGTGCCAGAGACTGTTCTAATGAGCATTTTGTATATTGATATGTTAATTTTAAACAACTCTTTAAAAGTTTTATTATCAAACCCATTTTTAAAGATACAGAAGCACTGAAAAGTGATTTGCCTAAGGGTACACAATTAGTGATGGACAGTTTCTGAACTCCTGCAATTGGCCCTGGGGCCTACATGTAAGCACAACCTTACTTCTCTATAAATAAATGCACAATGCAATGAATCTAGGTGTAAATGTATGTACATATAGAAAACTATGTAAGAGACAGAAGTTTTAAGAGGATAGAACTTAAATATTGGTAATGCCATCACCAAATACTGCAATTCAGGGCAATGGGAAATTTAAAGTCTAGTTTTCAGGATTAAGCTCTCCGTAGTAGCAATATTCCTAAATGTTCAAAGGAAACCCAGAGGTTTATAGGTAAAGAAGCAAAAAACATGACTCTGATCAGTTCTAATTGGATGCCAGAGTCCTTAGCTCAGAACAAAAGCCTTCTTTTCCTATTGGTACGTAAGCAGGATTGAAGGTTCTGTGGAGGCACCAATGCGGACAGAAGTTTCTGGTGCTGTGCAAACATGCTCTATAGACTCTGCTGGCCTCCAGGAGGAAAAGAGCCTTTCCGAAGACTAGTCTGCATCTTATTAAAAAACAACCTAAAGACTATGTCCCTTTACTCTTGCTTTAGGGTACTGGTGTTCTGAGACCTGATATGTCCCTCACTTTTTTCTTTTCAAATGTTTTCTCTCTCTCTCTCTCTCTCTCTCTCTCTCTCTCTCTCTCTCTCTCTCTCTCTCTCTCTCTCTCTCTCTCTCGTCTCTCTCTCTTTTTCTTTCTATCAGTCATTTTGGAACCTTTTAAGCTAAGGAGATCACGTTTATACCCTGGGCTTTGGAGTTCTTGTGTGCTGAAGAACTTGGTATACACATGATTAGACTCATCAGGAGAACACACTTTTACAGAATCTAAGGATGAATGCATGGAGCCTTGGGACTGGTGAGAAGAACTTCGACACTGAGCGGGAAGGGCACAGTGGAGATGTGGGAGAACTCCATCCTGCACTACACCAAGTGCTGCTGCACCTCAGAGGAGCTCAGCACTTTCCAGGACTCATGCCCAGTGACTCTCTAAATGTGTTGGCTATAAGGCCCACACCTAGGTGAGAGCTCATTTACAAGTCAGTGCTCAGTTTTGGTCACCTTTCCACTGGAGGAGTCCTATTACCCCCAAGGCAATTCAACAAAAGTCTGTAGATCTGATCCCAGTTTTGGGAAAACTCCTTGTTCTGAGGAATGAAGTTAAAAGTTTAGTCTCCTTGTACAAGAGAAGCTTGTCCAATAGAATAACTAATTGAAGTAGAGGGAACAAAATTAATGCATCCTAAAGGCTTAGAAAGATGACATGCAATTTAACATCCAAATTTAAGCAATAAATGAGAGCATTGGGATCAACAAGCAAATAAAGGGAGCATAGGAAATAAGATACCACTCTTATGCTCAAACAGCATTAGTGTGAATGGAGTTGCAGAACAGGTATGATAATGACATTTGAATGAACAAAGAAAGGGGAGGGATATAGCATCAGGACAGGAAAGAGGGGTTGACAGGACAGACTTCAAGAACTGTCTTGTTAGTCCAAGGGTCCTTTTCCTGTTCAGCAAATTCTTTTGTTATGTGTACTTATCAATCCCACGCCTTGCCAAGTGAGAATGACAGACAGGCCATTCTTAATGACTTCTGAGCTTCTGAAACTATTTTGGTGTCAGAAAGAGAGAGAGCCATATAAAATTGTTATAAGGATTGAGCTTTCTGTTGGCTCAGTATATTTTCCACTCTGAGATGACAAATTCTGTTAGCATATAATAGAAACAGCTTTGCCTGTTTATGTTATCTGTGCAAAGTTCCAGAAAACTGACACCTTGTGGCACCTCTTAGGACAGGGAAACAACGCCAGTGTGGCTGGGGGCGCCTCGGGGACCTTAGTGCTATGTCAGCAGGGTGTGCTAGGATCTTCCTCCCAAAGAGACAGAGCAAGTCCTCTGTCCTCTCCTGGGCATACCCGCCCACATCAGCACAGGGAGCCTTTGTTCCTAGTGCCAGAGGCCTCGCCACGCCCATGCCAGGACAAAGCTTCCACTCTAGCCCTGTCTTTGCCCACTGCTTACTTAATCTTTCCTTTTCACTTCCTCCTGGGTGCGGGGTGCATGACGTTTTTTCCTTTGTTTGAAACAAGACAGTTTAAAGGGTGGTTACTGATGACACAGGCATTTTCAGTCTTTCTTCACTGGGGTTTTCCTAATCTTTGAGGGGTTGTCCAACACACAGGAATTTGGTTCAAAACACAGGTAAAACAGGTTCACAGGATTTCATTTTCAGTTAATGGATATGTCACTAGGTAGCCATCACGTCTGAGCATTTCTCTTTGAAGATGCCATTTCTGTTATCTTTAGGTATATGTAACATGTTGAGTTTTGGTCACCATGGAAGGTGGATCTTATTAAAGTGTTAAAACGACAACACCACACTATAAGGTTCTATAAATCTAGGAAAGGAAGATGATCTAACAATCTACAGGTCATTTCTTAACACAGAAATCTCTATATTTAGAAATCCATCCATCCATCTACCCATCAATCAACATTTATTAAGCACCTACTTTGTTACAGTGGAGAAGTATTTTAAAAAGTCCTTATCCTGAGTTTGCACTTTGTAAAGGGAGAAAAACATGTAAACAAATGAGTATAATAAGTTATAATAGATGTAATAATATAATTATGGATCAAATATACTATCGATAAGAAGGAAGGAGTACATACATCAGCAGTGCAGTATATTGTCTAGAAAACAAATCAAAGAAAGACAATAGTTGAGCTGCGTGTTAATGTTCACTTAGGGCTTATGTTTGTGTGTGCACTGAGGAAGCAGGCAGCCTTCAGACCTCGAGACCCTGCAGACCATGGAGGGCCCTATAAGTGAAATATCCTGTAGGTACCTGGAGTCAGCCACCAAAGCAGGGGACTAACACAATGACAACTGCCATATGATATGAGTCTCTGTTTCCATATACTCACCAATTCCTTGGGTGTGTTTTACCCCTGCTTTCCTTTTTAAAGCAATGGATTTTGTGATGAGAACAACTCAAATTCAATTCACTGGGCTCTGGTTTGGAGCAAGCTCACTAAAAGACACCAGAATAGCCTGATGGGGAGCTTGAAGGTTGCCTTTGGCATCCAGTGAGCATTTTCCCAGACAGCGGCCAAGTGTGGCCACACACCGGGTGGCCAGGAAACCTTACCACTTCAGTTGGTCGGTAGTATTTGAGGTCCACAGTCACATGAACTTTGCCGGTCTCTTTACATCTGCCCACTTCATTTTCATTCTTTCCTTCCCACCTGTAAAGAAGATAAACACTTAATCAGCCTTTAATTGCTTGGGAGCATTTGGCCACAGTGTGATCCCTCAGGCCAGCCTAGCCCAGCCCAGCCCAGCCCAGCCTTTTCCTTGCAGCAGTAGGTAAGCTCATTAATGACAGGAGCCCAGGCTGCAGTTAACCATGTTATTAGGAAATAGTGACTTTCAGAGCCTTTCCAGATCTATTTAGAAAGGGTAGGGCTTCCTCCTTCCTCCTTTCTTTTTAAGAAAATCATGATGGGTTCAGAAGCAAGACTTTAGAAATGACCAGACTATTCAAAATAAGGAACTGGGCAACTTTCAGGGAATTTAAATATTTTTTAACTTCTTTAGACTATTCCTGATTTAGTTATTAGGAATTAATTAATTTGTCTTGTCTCCCCCTTCCCCTTTTAAAATTTTTATAGTTTTATGGATATCTATCATAAATTCAATGCACTCCAGTATGGATTAAGTTTCATACCTAATTAACCATTTCTTTCACCTTTGTATTAAATATGAATTCCCTTGCTCTACACAGTCAGCAGCAGACCTCAACACATCTCAAATGATTAAATCTCCAAAAAGTGCACAACTAATTGATTTACTTCCTGCTAAGAGAGGGTATATTAGCATCTCTCTGCCTCCTTTAATTCAGCTATGCTGTTATTCCTTCCTTAAACATCTAAGGCCTGGATCAGAGTCACAGTGAGGAGTAAAGAAAAGAAGAGAGCATTAAATTAATTACTCATTGATGTGACCCACAGTGCTATTGAAGATGAATGTTCCATGTTGGCCACAGTTGTATTTTTGGACACAGGTTGGGTATTAGAGACAGAAGTTGGCCTCACAGCTTCATTTCTCAGCATTCATCTGAATGTTCTATTCTCAAGTAACTTTTTGGCAGCACAGGGATACCATTTCATCATTGGAGAAGTAATGAGGTTACGAACATGCTAAATTTCAAGGCACTCAAGGCAACCATGAGAACATTCCACAGCACAGAGAGTTATAGCACAATGTGCCGAGCACAGCAACACTAGGCCACCTGCATTTTCCAGTACTTTCATACTAATTGACTAAAAAAGGAATGTTTGATAACTTACACTTTTGGTTTCAACTCTTACTGTTGATCGGACTGATTTGGCAAGATCAGAGCTAAGATTTTGGAAAATTCACCTGGAAATGGTATGTGGATGCCTTAAATTTAGAGCATGTCAAGGAAAACGCTGTGAAGTGAGAAAGCCTACAGTGATGAGGAACCTGCACATCTCTGATGGACAAAGACCAAATTTTGGCTAATATCCATAGTGAGGAAGAATAATTGGTAAAGCCATAATTTTAAAAAATTACCCATCTAATTCCAAAGGTAATTGTTTAAGTGAAACTTTTTCTTTGGTTAGGCTAAATAAGAGGATATTTGTTTCATATTAGTAAAAGCATATTTTAATTTTATTTTTGTTTACATTTTATACTTACAAAGAGAAACAAGTTCAACATCTACCTTTCTGAAAGTATTTTCAACTAAGCCCAAAGGGTTTATAAAAATACTCTTCATAATTTTGCTATTTTCCCCCCATTGTATCTAGGCACGTAGTCTATCATGCTAATTTATGTGTACTCATATCTTTAACTAGAGGCCCAGTGCTTGAAATTCGTGCATGGAATAGGGGGTTGTCCCTCAGCCCAGCCTGCACCCTCTCCGATCTGGGACCCCTCGAGGGATGTTAAACTGCCCATTTAGACCCAATCCCACCGGGTCTAAACGGGCAGTTGGACATTCCTCTCACAATCCACGACTGCTGACTCCTAACTGCTTACCTGCCTGCCTTCCTGATTGCCCCTAACCGCTTTTGCCTGCCAGCCTGATCACCATCTAATTACTTCCATGCCAGTCTGATTGATGCTAACTGCTCCCCTACCAGCCTGTTTGCCTCCAAGTTCCTTCCTCTATTGGCCTGGCCACCCCTAACTGCCCTCCCCTGTAGGGTTGATCGCCTCCAACTGCCCTTCCTTGCAGGCCTGGTCCCTCTCAATGGGCCTCCCTTGCAGGTCTGGTATCTCCCAACTGCCTTTCCCTGCTGACCATCTTGTGGTGGCCATCTTATGTCTACATGGGAGCAGGATCTTTGACCACATGAGGGCAGCCAGCTTGTGTGTTGGAGTGATGTTCAATCTGCATATTACTCTTTTATTAGATAGGATAGAGGCCTGGTGCATGGGTGGGGGCCAGCTGGTTTGCCTGGCAGGGTGTCCTGGATCAGGATGGAGGTTCCCTTGGAGTGTGGGGTGGCCTGGGTGAGGGGCCTGTGGTGGTTTGCAGGCTGGCCATGCCCCCTGGTGACCCAAGCGGAGGCCCTGGTATCTGGAATTTATTTACCTTCTACAATCGAAACTTTATAGCCTGGAGCGGAGCCAAGCCTCCTGCTCACTCTGTGGCTGTTAGCCATTTTTGTTGGGATTCATGTATCTTCTATAAATGAAACTTTGTATTCTTGACTGGAGTGCCAGCCAGGATATGTGGAAAACTTGGCTTCCATTGCCAGGAAACCCAAGCCTTTCAACTGCTCTCTGTGGCTGCAGCCATGTTGGCTGGGGTTAATTTACATACTCACTTTGATTGGCAGGTGGGCATGGCTGGTGGGTGTGACTTGAGCGTAGTGATGGTTAATTTGCATATTACTCTTTTATAAGGTAGGGTGACAGCCTTTATGTAAATTTGCTTAAATGTCACACACATGAGAACTGATGACTCAGATGTATCTATAATTACATTTTTTTTGGAAACCACACACGAACATATTTCATATTTAAGTTGCTAAAGCCTTAGGAAAACTTGGAGAACATTCCATGACTGGGGAAGGAGTGTGTGGACAGGAAAGGGATGAGGTTAAGCCAAGGTGTCTAGATCAGGAGAGGGCATACTGTTTCTGTAAGGAGCCAAAACGTCAATATTTGAGGCTTTATAGATCACATACACATAGCCTCTGTTGAACTTTATTCCTTTCTCTCCTTCTTCTGCTTTCTATACTTCTTCCTCCTTTTCTTTCTTTTTACTTTGCAGCATCTAAAAACAAAAACAAAAACAAAAGACCTACCCTAGAACTATAAAAATCTCCTTAGAAGACAGTAAAAATCAGGCTGCAGGTGGGGTTTGGCCTGGAGGCCACAGGTTGCTCACCCTGCTTTAGGGGGTAAGTTAATGTATAGCCTTCCCCTCAACTAAATCTCCTTTCACACTAACAGCTTGCATCTTTGGACCAGCATTAATTTCCCTGTCTACTAGTGATTCTCTTTGATTGCTCCACAGTCATATGGTAACATGTAACATTTGTAACAGTAACTGAAATGGAAAAGACTAAAAGAAGGAATCTGCAAGTTATAATTGAGTTTGAGGTTTCCTAGGCACATGAGCTCCCAGCATGCAAGCCTTCTCTGTCTGAATGCTGTCTGTTGGGCTGCCACTTTGCAAAGGCTATGTACAGTCCAACCATCTATAAGGGCATGGCACTGCCTCAGTGAATAATATAGCTGCATTGAATAACCAACTGCAACCAGGAAATGGCTCAAAGCAGGACTGAGTTGGCAAAAACCACTTTCTAATTTCCACTATATGAGGACAGTAAGCAAAAGTTTCGGCTAAAGGCCAAAAACCATTCAGTTACAACAATATATGAAGCACTTGTATTAACAAGTAGAAGGTAGCAGCTAACTTGTCCTAACAAGTAATGTTATGACTCAAAGCAGAGCTCCATGTTCATGAAATGATGATACCTTGACAGGGAGTAAATGATATAACTAATTAACAGGGATTGCTAACCACTAATTTAGATCAACAGCTCACTGAGCAGGAATCCTGTATAATTCAATTTTAAAAATAAATTGTTGGCTTCTAATAAGCATAAAAAAGATCTAAAGAATAGCAGACTTAAGCACATTAAGGCAAGAATGGGGGCTTTTAAGATTTCCAACTAGGGATCCCTTTAAGGAATACCAGTCACTGGGAACATCCAGTTGAAAAAACACAGCTACCTATAGCAACCTGAAAAGGACAAAGTTCTCAGAAATTATTTTAAGAAACACTATTTCATTAGAACACAGATATAAAGATAGATTACCAGAGGCTAAAATTTAGCAAATGACATAAACTAGTCCTGGAGAATTATTAGGTTCTGAATAAAGATGGCCATTTGCACACACTTTTGCACGTTCCAAGATTTCTTTCAAAAAAGGAATAGTCTTAAGGGCTAAAAGAACAGGAGAGAAAAGAGGAACTAAATCCTGGAAGGTGGACAGCAGCTGAATGAATGTTTAAGAACTTAGCAGGAGCCCAGAAAACAGACTCAAAGCCAGCGGTGGTAAAGCCAAGAATTAATCCAATTTACACCTGCAGGAGCCCCCAAGTTTTTAAGAAGTGTGAGCTGATTACAGCTCTACTGGAGACACAGTCTGATGCCCAGTTACCTCTGAGATATCACAGCACTTGGCAGTGCCTCACCGTTTCTGGAGAAGAAGGTCCCAGGATTGAAGGGTGGGATCACCGTGCTGAAATCAGGGTAGGATTAAGTATGTAAACTATATGTGGGGGTTGCCTAGCAACCTAGTGTGCTGGCTGGCAGGCTTGTCTCCTTGCAGGGAGGAGACTGGAAACTCTTCTCCAGTTGTCAGAGGTTCTTCACCTAAATGTCCAAGTCTCCATATAGTGACACAGTCAACAATCTCCATGTTTTCAGGAATTCCCAATTCAGTTTTTAAAAAAATATATATATTTTATTGATTTTTTCCAGAGAGAAAGGGAGAGGGATAGAGAGTTAGAAACATCGATGAGAAAGAATCATGGATCAGCTGCCTCCTGCACATACCCCCACTGGGGATGTGCCCGCAACCAAGGTACATGTCCTGACCAGAATCGAACCTGGGACCCCTCAGTCCGCAGGCCGACGCTCTATCCACTGAGCCAAACCGGTTTCGGCCCAATTCAGTTTTTAAACATGACCAAGAT